ATGAGGGCAGTAGAAAGGAGTAAAACAGGTGGAGTTGAAACAAGGTATCACTAAAAAAGAAGATAAATATCTGGTACAGTTGTCGTTTCGATTGAACCTTTTCACATTTTGTTACATTACAAATGAAAATGTAATCTATTTTATTGGGGTTTTTATGTGACAAGCGATCACAACATTGTGCATAACTGAAGTGGAAGACGGTAACTGCAGCCTGCAAGTGGCTATTTAATCTCTCTGCAGTAGCTCTGAATACTTTTGTCTAAAATAATAAGGAACTGATGGTTTTAGAGGGTTTTCTGTGTTGTAATGCTATATTTGCATAGAATGACCTCTACGGAATGATAATGCAAAAATGTATTTTTTTCATGAAGTCGTGAATTATGGATTAATTAATTAAAGAAAATGAAGTTGGTCTCTTTTTGTAAAACTTTGATGTTTTTTTTTTCTTTCTATGAAAACATAGAAGTAGAAGTAAAATGGTGATTTTACAATTTAAAAACTCCCACCAAAAATTCCAGTAGTGTATAATTATTTAAAGTTATGTTATATTTACATTAACAACATTAATCAGAGATGCAAACAAAATGCTCTAGAGGTGCTGCAGAGACCCACAGCTCAGGTAAAGGAATCTCTCAATCAGTTGTCCTTTCAAGGACATTTATTTATTTGAGGGTATCACAGTAAGGGGGTGAATAAAAATGCATGCCAGACTTCAGATGTTTAATTGCAAAAACATGTTGAAAACTGTGTCAAATTCCTTTCACTTTACAGTTATGTCATATTTTGTGACAATGTATCACACAAAATCCCAAAAACATACACTGAAGTTTGTGATTGTGACATAAATGTTTTGTTTGTTTCTTTTTTACCTCTTTATGGGCATACTTTTCATCAAATTCCTTTGGTTTCAACCATGTGTAAACAGATATGGAATTTAAGAAAATCTGCCATACTTAAAACACATGGAAGTGTTTTGGGAAGAGGACTGACCAGAAAAGGGTTTACTAATGCCAGCTTGATTCTTGTGCCTGATGTCATCTCATCTTAAAGCAGAATTTGCTCATTTTCTCCAGTGCCCTTTTTTATCACTGATTATTATTCATATGTGAAATTCTGCAGTGGAAGTCCATTCTTCAACCAAGCTGTTTGGTGAACACTGGATGGTATAAGTCATAGATCTGGAGCTGCAGCTTTAGTTTGAACAGGCCATGTATGTATTTAATACCTATGTGTCTTTCTGGTGTTCTCTTTAGGACCCTGTCGCACCTGCAGGTCTCGTGAAGCCGTTGACGTCAGCGATAGGTCTCCGCCGCGCGGCGGCAGCGGTGCCCCTTAGGCGCAGCGTCCGTCCAGCGCGCATCGCAGGCAGCTGCGGCACTCCAGTCTCACTCTCTCTTTGCCGCTCCGTAGGAACCAGGCACACCTAAAGACCTTCTCTCCATCCCACGCATGCACCCCCAGCTTCAGCTGTGAGCCATCCTCACCTCTCCGCCCCAGCCATGTCATCGGCCGTCACGGAGACGGAGGAGTCGGCGCACAGCTCTCCGCTGACCCCGCTGAAGCTGGTCGGGCTGGTGTGCGTCTTCCTGGCGCTCTGCTTGGATGTGGGAGCCGTGATGAGTCCGGCGTGGGTGACCGCCGACGACCAGTACTACCTGTCCCTGTGGGAGTCCTGCTGGAAGCCGGGGAGCTATGAGAAGTGGCAGTGCAGCAGCACGCTGGGCTCAGGTAATCAGACGGACACAGTCAAGATGTTTGGCTCCACTTCTGTTCTTCTTGTTACTACAGGGCTGATCATGTTTACGTAGCAGGGAGGTGATCAATGACTGACTGTAACATGATCGAGTAAAGGATGCTCATTTACCTCTACAGATGGACATCCTGACATGTATGAGTCTAACTGAAACAAAGCCGCTTCCAGACGGTCTCTGATATCCTCCTCTGCTGGGAGCTCCACATTAGGTACTCTGGGTCTGAAATGAGAAGCTTTTATCAGGGAGAAGCTCATCTGATGGAATTACACTCAAAGGGATTTAGGGATAGTTTATCTCTTTTCTCTATGAAAATTTATCATAATTGTTGAAAGCTTTTGTTTCTGACAAGCTGCAATCTGCACCACAGGTTTCTTTCACACTTCACACCTTTCATGTTAGGGACACACTCGGTCCCTCACTTTCACAGTGATAGTTGCTGTATAAAATAACATGGCAAAAGGAACCCTAGAACTTTAGAATATTTTGTCATGTTAGAACCACGTGCTTCAGTGTATTTTATCTCGATTTCATTTTTAGAGACCAATGCAATAATGCATAATTGTAACGTGGAAGGGAAATTCTAAATGGTTTTAATGTAGGTTTACAAATAAACATCTGAAAAGTGTGGAGTGTGTTTTGATCTACCCCCCTTTGATAAATTTAACTTTCATTGAGTTTTATTTTCTAATTTCTGCTTTGGAATTTCTGAAACATTCAGTGCTACTGAGACTACCACCAGAATCACTGATAAAAAAAGTTGTAAATAGATTGAGTGTTTTGTCCCTGTAGTCTCAAGACGTGGACAAGATTCCCACAATGTCTAATAAAGTCAGGAATTTGATTTTAGTTTTTTCCAACTCTGGAGTATGGAAAGTATGGGAAAAGAAAAAAGACTGGAGAAATGTGGGTATTTTCATACTTTATTCCCTATCACATTTTTAAAATGCCCTTGTGTTTGTGCCCTTCCTTTCTTCCTTCCTCGTATACTTCCTTCCCACCTTCCTGCCTGTCTTCTTTCTTCCTTCCTTTTTTCATTTGTTCCTTCCTCATGTCATTTCTTCATTCCTTACTTATTTCCCTCCTTGTATCTTCCCTTGCTGATGTTCCTGCATCCTTATCCTACCTCTCTTCTTTGTCCTTCTTTCATTTGTGTCCTTCACCTTCTTCCTTCCCTGTGTCCTTTCTTTTACTCCTTTACCTCTTTGGTTTTGTTCTTCTCTTCTCTTCCTGTATTGTGTCCCTTTTTTCCATTCTTCTAGTTCCTTGCTTTTTCAGATTTTAAACCCTATACAGGGTTCTCAATACAGATTTACCTGTCATTAATACATGGTCATGGATGAATTTATGGCTATAACTACATGCAGACACATTCAAAAGCCTTTCCAGACTAAGAACTTTTGGATGATTAGCCTGGTTGGACCTCCACATTCATGCTATGTCACTGCCTCAAATGTCTATTAAGGTCAGTCATGCTGAAATATAGCTTGTGTGTGTCTGTTACTGCCTCCATGTTCTTTGATTCCTTCTTATTGTAATGTGTGAGACACATTCCTGACCCCTGCTCTGCCTCCTTAGCAGCTGTTGTCCAGTGACCAAGCCACTTGTTGCTTCCTGCTTTCTAACAAAGTGAATATATATCGACTATTGAAGAAAGTGTAATTCTAAGTGTGGAGTGCATGTCCTGTTGACAGATTCTCCCATCAGAGCTGTTCATCTCTGCAGCTCCTTCAGAGAAACCATGAGCCTTTTAGCTGTTCTGATCAGTTTAGGAGGACAGCCGTGTCTTGGTAGGCTTACAGTTGTGCCATTCAACATGTGCAATGATCAAAGCTTGGGCCATTGTTGTATTACCCAACCCTACTTTGGTCCCATTGAAATATATTGAAGTTTGTGGTTGTAATGTGATTACAAGGATTTACTTTGTTTGCTGTGAAAATGTTGCATGCTTGTTCTGCTGCAGCGCATTCACACTGTCCTGGCAGGTGGAAGCTTCTAGACAAAAATGTACATCTGTCCAGTTAGAAATGTACAACAGGGAACAGACAAGCTTTTATGAAAAAAATAATTCACAGAGAGTGATATGTTACGGCATGGGCTTAAAAAATGGGTCTCCCCTTCTGTGGAATTACAAATGCATTTATTGCTTTCTATGAAACCATTTTCAAGGAAGTTCTTAACCATTTTCGAAATTGAAGGTTAATTTTCAATTTGTAGTTTTCAGTGCTTGGCAGCCTTTTCATCTGGATTAGATTGGCATAAGTTAAATATTTACCGTTTAGACCTGGAAAAGAATGACCAGCCCTAAATACAGATTCTGTACCGACACAAAAATAACACAAATGACTTATTTTTGGATTTTATTTTTTTTTTATAGAGTAAAGGTCTAACAGATCCCAGATTGAGTCGTGTCCTGCTGGAAGGTCAACCTTTGCAGTCTCTAATAAGTCTTCTTCTAGGATTGTCCCGTATTTTACTCCTTTCCTCTTCCCATCTGTTCTGGTCAGCCTTTCTGTACCTGCTAAAGAAAAGCTTGCCCCCAGCATGTCGCTGTCACCACCATGTTTCAAAGTTGGGGCAATGTTTTCAGAGTGATTTGCAAAGCTTATTTTCGGAGCATCTTCCTACACATATTTGCTGTGGTCCCCTACGTGGGTTGTGGCAAACTTTAAAATTGACATTCTTTGACTTTCCTTTTTGCCACTCTTCCACAAAGGCCAGATTTAGTGCACGACTAATCTGTTTCCTTCACGAGATTATTTATGATTCAAATGCTACTAAAGAACATCAGCTCTCTGGGGCGTTGTCATTCACCTATAGGTAATTATTCCACATGTTATTGAAACCAAAGAAGGTGTGGAGGAAAAAAAATACTGTCTCACTCTTTATTTTTCCATCATCCCCTTGCTTTAGTTGTGTTGTCACATTCAGCAGTATTTTACTAAGTGGCAGTGAGGCCGATCTTAGATGCTGAAATAGTCAGTCATTTTCTATCGCTTCTTCCATAGTGGGTCGCGGGGGAGCTGGTGCCTATCTCCAGCAGTCTATGGGCAGGAGGCGGGGTACACCCTGGGCAGGTCGCCAGTCCATCGCAGGGCAACACACAAACAGCCATGCACAAACTCATTCATACACCTAAGGGCAATTTAGAGAGACCAATTAACCTAACAGGCATGTCTTTGGACTGTGGGAGGAAGCCGGAGTACCCGGTGAGAACACACGCATGCACTGGGAGAACATGCAAACTCCATGCAGAAAGACCCCTGGCCGGGAATCGAACCCAGGACCTTCTTGCTGCAAGAAGGCAACAGTGCTACCAACTGCGCCACCGTGCAGCCCTATGCTGAAATAGATTTAGAGATAATGAAGTCTAAAAAATCATTTCTTTGAATGATCACAAAGTGACTGTGTGTGCAAGCCCTGAATACCTAAGAGATGACTGATGCTATGTTTGTATACCAGTTTTTTTGTGGCACTCTTGTATGTGAGGGAGGACTGGATTGAGTCTAAGTGTGACAGAAGGCGAGTTTCAGTGTCTGTATGCGTGCAAATGGTGTGTGGGTGTGTGCCAGTAAGGGGCTGCCATCTTGAACTGACCTATTTCTGGACATTCTTCTATGTAGCCACTGTAAATATTTCATGTCACACTCGGATTTCTCTGTTGTTGCGTCTCCGTTCCCCTTCCCCTCTCATGTACGGTGCAGACACAACACACACACACATTCTTTGCTTTTCACACATACCTACTCACATCTATACTCCAGACCCAGACTCTTTAATTAGGTGTCTGCACGGTTTGTGTGTAGAGGTGTTGGCTGATCTATGTGTGTGTCTTACCGTCTCACCCGCATTGATCTTAACACTAAATTCCTTCTTGCTTGTCCCAACTTTCTTGGATTTATTTAATCGGGTCATTTTTCCATTTACTAATGATTTTATTTTAGTGGTGATATTAAACTTAACTGAAAGTTGGTGCAAAAAGCTATGTTGACCACAACTTTGGAAGTCAGAGACTACAATTGTATGCCAGTATACACTCAGCGGGCACTTTGTTCAGTACATTTTGCTTTTACTCGGGTTGAGCCACAAGAAAATGTCCCCCACATCATTACATTACCACCACCTTGAATTGCTGATACAATTAAGAATGGACCCATGCTTTCATAATGTTCACACCAAGAACTCAAGAGTCATCGGGTCAGGCAATGTGTTACCAAGCTTTCACTGTCGGGCTTTAAAGTTCATTGAGTTGTGCATTCAGATCATTTGTGTGGCAGCCTTGTCAGTATTTAGTCGATAAAAGAAACTGTGAGAGAAATACAGGCAGGATACAAACAAGTTGTTAGCCCTGTGAGAAAACTGGCTTACCGTTAGCCGCTAACAACACTAAACATCTAATTCAAAGCTTCCTATACTAAAAGTTTGAACAGCCTTTGATTGTCTCCAGTTAAAAATGTTAAACACTCAGGCTGACCAAACCTGAACTGGATAATTCTAACCTGGAACCTTTTATTTTATTTGTGAAAACACAGAAAAATCTTTTAGTGCTTTTGTTGATAAAAGGATCGCCTTAGAATTAGACGAGCATAAAAGTTGCAGCACAGACTGAACCATGGTACTGATTGCAGATCAGTTTATTTTAATTTTTTTTACAGTTTTAAAACCAATTTTCTGAAACCTTCATTCTGTTTTTTTTTTATAAAGCAAAAAAAAAAACTCACTCAGGAGCATCATGTATTGTGTTGGATCGTGGGCTGGATGTATTAAACCCTTACTGTCAACATAAGGGGTGAAATGATCAAATTTTTGGTAATTTTATATATAATTGTTATTTATACATTCTCGCAATTACACAAATCAAAGCTACCACAAATATAAACCACATGTGGAATAATGAGAGATATTCTCGTGTGATTTTCCTACTGTTTTAAAGTAGATGCCAAATATGCTGCAGGCATGTGATTCCTGCAGTAAATGCATCCAAACCAAACTTTTCTGAACACACAGACATGTCTGTGTTCATGTTGCTGATAAATGCGGAGGTACAATTATCTCAAACAACAAACCAGGCTTTAAGACTTAATCAGCTTCTTGCAGAAACCGTGGATCTGATGTCTGCTGTGCACTTGGAGGAAAACTTCAGATGCAAAACATTACAGTGGGTGTTTATCCTTAGAGGCGCAGGTAACAGAAGCCTGTGCCTGTGTCAGTCACATGTGCACCCTCTACTGAGATAAATAAGCTCAAAGTGGTGCTTCTTCTTTCTTGCTTCTGTCTCCTAAAGCATTGTGAGATCAGGCGTCAGTGAAGACAGAACCATTACCCTCCCTAAATTCTGTCTCCCCTTTCTTCCCCCAACTCATCTTTCTTTTTCATTCATATTGATCCACTCTCTACAATTGACCAAGATTTTTCCCTCAACATTGAGCCATGTTCCATTGTTTCTTCCCTATTACTTCTTTTATCAATTTTTTACAATTTATTTCGCTTTGCTCCGCTGTCCTTAACGACTTCTTTGTTTATACATTTATAATTTTAATCATTTCCTCATTGTTATTTCACCATGCTCCTTCTCCTCACCATCTCCCCTTGCTATTTCTTCACGGTCACGTTTCTTCCCCTCCTTTTAGTTTTTTTCCTCCTCCTCCTCCCTTCCCGACTGTGTCTCCCCTCTCAGAGCTCCCTCCAGAGACGCTCGTTCTATTTGTAGCAGCTGAATGAGGATTTGGAAATCATGTAGTATCCAGCCTTATGGCAGATGGGTACAATGATCATCAATGTCCTTATGTGGTAGGGTGCCCTTTTTTTACAGTAAATAGTTGTTTGATCTCCTGATTCACAGGGTGTTTCTGTTGAAGTCACACCAACACAATTAGAAACTACAACCACAAGTGTAATCATGTTGAATCAACTTAATTTATAATCATAGTTAACCATTGTTGCTTCTTTGAAGTATAAGCTGGCATTTATGAAGCTCATATAAAACATGGATCAAGTTTGTGTGCTCAGACTTAAAATCCCAGTCTGTTGGAGAACTCTTTTTGCTGTTGTAAAAACCCTTCGTAACACATTTACAACAGCATTTAGAAAGCAGACTTGTAATATCAGGTCTTCATAGTAGTGAGAAAGGTATAAATATGGGCGCAGCGCGGGCGGTGTTAGGGGTTAACGCGCGACCACATATAGAGGCTATAGTCCTTGAAGCGGCAGTCCCGGGTTTTATTCCCGGACCCGGCAACCTTTGCCGAATGTCTTTGCCCCTCCTTCCTGTCTGCCTACTATCAAAAATAAAGGCCTCTAGTGCCGAAAAATCTCTTCAATATGGATTCATAAAGATTACACTGAAAACTGACTCTTCTGGGTTTAAAGATGACTGTCAATTACCCAGATCTAGTGTCTGGACGAAATGGGGGAATGTGCCTCTGATATCTAAATGTGTGTCTGATAGAAAAAAAACCCTGCAGTTAATCAATAAACACTGGGTAATGTTGTGTGAGTGGGTGATTGTGACTTGTATTGTAACGTGCTTTGAGGTGGTCGATAAGACTTGAAAAGTGCGATATAAATTCAATCCATTAGGCATTTATTTATTTTCTCTGCCTGTTGGTCCAACACTAACAACTATTGGTTCAGAGGTGCAGGATTGTGCCTTCAGTATACTGTGCCTTGCCAATTTAGTATTTATTTCACTTGAATGCATTTTATTGGAGATTTATGCATAACTTAGTAGAAACCTGAAAGGTGTGGGATGCATGTGAGACAATATTTTTAAAACATCTTTCAGTCTTTTTTTTCATCTCTTCCAGTTAGATTGGGTGGACTTTGACTAGGTCAATACATGAATATGCATCAGAATGGCTCCTGGAAGGTAAACCTCCTGTGTTTAGGTCCATCAGTCTTCCCATTTGCTCTTGCCAGTTTACTGGTCCCTGCTGTAGAAAAAGCATCCCCACAGCATGATGCTGCAATTACCATATGTCACCTTGGGCATGGTGTTTTGAGGGTTGGTTTTTGACCTCACAGTATTTTAGATGTAGGCCAAAAAAGTTAGATTTTGTCGTTTGACCAGAGGACTGTCCTCCATCTGTTTGCTATGGCTTGTGGAATCTAAGCAGATAATTCTTCTTGCCGTCGGGTTTCCATCCACAGCTGTGTCCGTCATTGTTAGGAATTATCCAAGTCAAAACTGGATCAAACCTGCAAAGAAAAACCCTGGTAGAACTCTAGCTTTGTCTGGTCCTATGAACATTTTTAAATTAAAAAGCACCATTTACTCAGTGAAATCTCTGCTTCTTAAAAGTGTGAGGCATACATAGTCACCTTGGAATACATTTTTGCCACCTGCAGTAGCTTTTTCGTTTTTCATCAGAGAGCATAGGACAAATGTATAGGATTTTGTATTAGTTTTTGTAGCAACGTACCAATCTTGTGAAAGAAGTTGAAATTTAATACTCAATATCAAAAATGATAGTTGCCATTACAGGGTTTACTTGATTGACTGAAGTAGTTAATGACCTTTGCAGTAGGTAGCCATGAGCTTGAGCTCAGGGAGAATTCCTGACTGGAGAGAAAAGCTAACAGCTGCTTAGGCCAGGCAAAAGACTGCTAAATAAAAGAGTTAAAACTGTGACGAAGATTTTTTTCATGAATCGATTTGTTACAAACAAACACCAGACCAAAACCTCATTAAAACAAATTTATTTATCCATCCCTCTGGGAGCCACAGGACGCGGAGGGGAACACATGCATGCAAACCCCTTGCAGAAAGGCCCTGGCCAAGATTTGAAACCCGGACCTTCTTGGTGCCAGAAACAGTGCTAACAACTCCATGCAGCCTAAAAACTCATTTAGCATGATAAAAAACTGAATAAAATGGTAAAAAAAATGTTGGACAGCTAACTACAGTTCAATGACAAGAGTGCTTGGTGACGCTTGTTTAATTTTCACACCAGAATTGTTTCTTTTTTGCAACCAGAAATATTTCCAAAAATGTGGGAGCCTTCTTTCAGCTAGCTGACGGGGCAGTGTGCAGGATTGTGTTGGGAAGGGGAAGCAGGGTGCTAAACTGTGCTCCATAAAGCTTTAGAGAGCTTTAGTCACAGCCCAGGCATCTTATTTAAAGTACTTTTGAACCCTAATAATTGTACAACAGTAAATGTCAATGTTTGTTTTTAAAATATTGGCATACCTTGTTATCGGTAACCGACCTATGCATATTTACATCAAAATAAATAATTACAAGAACTTTTGAGATTGAACAGATTTTTTTTAACTTTTAAAAATATATATTTTTAAGAAAATGAAGGAAGGGTCTACCGTACACTCTTTCATTCAC